TAGGAATACAAATCTGTTGGTGTATCTGTTTTAAACATTGTTGTATAATGCATGGGGTAGTGCCTAAAAGGAGTGTTGGGAAATCTAAGATGAGAATTGGGGAGAAGCAGTGCTGTACAGATCAAGAGATAAGAACCTGGCAGGGTGAACATTGACCTTGCAGCCAGGATGCATTATATGGCTTGCTGTGGCATCAAAGGAAGTAAAGTGGTCTAACACTGGAAATTAAGTTCCAATCTCCAGTACATAAAATTAGCTATCAATGAACTGAGTGTCATGGAAAACACTAGACTTGTGCACTCAGTTTGAAATGCTATTTGTCTGAATTTTGGAAATCGAAAGGTCGTCTGAAGTCTGCACCTCTGTATGATCATATGACCGAACAAAAGGGATGAGCCAGTTCATTCTATTTGTGATTGGGAATTCTGTCCATGGCGCCAAAATAAAAAATGATCGATGGGAACAAAGCAATCCCATCAATCTTATTTAAAGCGATTGTTTTGAAGACATACTTGACTTACAAAGATATTATGATATAATAATAATCACAAAGAACAATTTATTTTTATGCTTTATAATTTCCTAATTTCTATTAATTTCCAAAATTCTATATTTGTATATAGAATTTTTTTATTGAAAATCACATTTTTGCTGATTAACTTTGTCATTCTTCTATTTATTTTTATTTCAGTCCTATAATGTTTTCAGAAACTGTTCTGTATTTGTAACCACAGATGAGAGTGCTTAATTAGTTAGATCACATAATTTAAATACACAGAAGTGTTTTCCAAACCCATGCAAAATAAACTATTATATGGATCAATAAATATTAATATCAAATTTTAGGGGAAGATTTATTGAAGTGTAACTAATTATGGATTGTGAGGGGAGCTAAACCCATTTCAGTATTAAATTAAGAAGAATTAAATCAGAAGTCTGGTTTAATGACCTTGTAAACAATTTACAGCAAAGACTCTAATTGTTAGGCCATTAGACTATCTGAATCAAAGCTAATTAGATGTTTCTCCAATTAAAATAAAACAGAATTCTTTAATAATAACACGTGTCATTTTAACCAAAATGTACTCTGTACATCTCATTTTATAATGCTCTTCAAATTCTATTTGACAATTTGTCACATGACTATATGTTATGTGCTGATGTGAGGGAAAAAAAACATTTATAACCCAGCTGGGATTGTTCCTGTTTAAGTTTAGTAATTGCAAGTGGTAATGTATTTTGGACACGGGGCCGTTGCAAGGATTTTTAGGTACACAGGCGAAGATAATTTTGGCGCTCACCCCCCCAACCCAAAAGCATCCTTACCTGTGTGCCTCTTGACCTGCCTTTTGTTTTTTATCCCCTTTTAAAAATGTCTTTAGTGTATCTTATCCCTTATTTTTCCCCGTCGTGTGTCTTACACCTCCCTTGTGTATCTCTTACAACCCCCTTTTGTTTGTCTCCTTCTCTCCCAGCCCCTTTGTGTCTTTTACTCTTACCAACTCCTTTATGGATTTCTCTTTCACCACCAGCCCATCTATCTCCCCCGAGGCCCATCTGTGTGTCTTTCTCCCCCCTCATGTCCCTCTGTGTGTCTTTCTCCCCACTCCCAACACCATATATCTTCATAGTTTGCAGATGGTAGGACAGTAATAATAGGAGCTATAGTATTGTGTCCCATTTACTTGCAGCTCTATAACCAAAGATGGTGGCGGAGCATCATAACATAACACCAGGCAGTTCAGAGGAGGAAAGTCCACTGCTAGTAGGAAAGATAAAAAGCTAGCATAATGCTTAAAAATAGAATGTTTACCTCTAAAACTGCAGTTTAAGTGATCCTGTTACAAGTTGTCTTTCTAAAAATGTAATTCTTACAGTTTGAAGTCTTCTCATTTTTGAATGTCTTTTTGGTTTTAAAACTTTAGCTAGCTGAAGATTATATTTGTTTAAAGCTTTATATTATGTTTTCATAATTCTGTAAGTAGATTTATGTAATTAAATGAAATGGCAGTTGGTTGAAGACTAAGTATCGTCTCTTGAATAATTAACTGTTTGTTGTTGGTTTTTTTTTTGGTCTTTTGTTTTTGACAGTCTCTGTAATATTTCTATTTTCTGAAAAGACATAGGCTGGCAGGTATCAGTCTGAGTGGCAAAATCAGCAACATTTATGTGTGAAGCTTTGCATGGACCTTGTTATTCACCTTTATATTGCTGCAATAAGTCAAGCTTGTATAATAAGTGTGTAAGGTGCTTTCCCCCGCCTCCCCCCCAAAAAAGCACGTTATAGCACTTTATATAACAGTTTGACACTTAATTGAGAGTGTATGTATATGTGTGTGTGTGTATGTATACTCAATTAAGTGTCAAATATATATATATATATATATATAAAAACCAAAAGCAAAAACAAAGAGGGACCAATAGTGCAAAACCGTTAGGAGATGGTGTCATGGACAACACAGAAATAGAGAAATGCCAACTGACAATCAACAGGGCTATGCCCAGCTCTAGGTAAAACAGCATACAGTGGTATTTGAAACTCCCCACATGTAGGATATAGCTGGACAGTAGGTGATTCTTCAATCCTTCTTTCACCAGAAGGATATCCTACATGTAGCTACACTTGAAAAAGCCTATTTTGGGCGAAACGCGTTGTGTTTTTTATGCTCTTGTTATAATAAAATTATTTTTAGACTACCTATATTTCTATGGTCAGTCCTCTTACTTTTATTTTTTGCTATTTTATCCTGGCTGATTTTGTTATTATTTTAAAAGATCCAGTACTAAAAAAAATCTTTAGGTGGGGATTATTCCACTCACGCCTGGTTCATAGAGCAGTGTGGCTGCTCTATACACTGTAAGTACGTTTCGTTTTACCTTTTAGGACCAATTTTATCTACTGAGAAGACAATGGGCCCTCTTTTGTGCTTCTTTCTTTCATAAATCCTGCATTAAATACATCACCAGAAGGATATCCTACACGTGGGGAGTTTAATACCACTGTTATAGCTTTTTTTATTGTAAGTTGGCACTCTTAGGACCTCAGTGTTTGTTTGTAGCTGCAGGTGTCATACGTTATTGCACCATTGGGTTTCTTCCCTTATTTTTATGTATTTTATATGCTGACACGTACTTGAGACGTTGAAAGAAGGATTGAAAAATCACCTATTGTCCAGCTATATCCCACATGTGGGGTGTTTCAAATACCACTGTATGCTGTTTTACCTAGATCTGGGCATAGCTCTATTGATTGTGAGTTGGCATTTCTCTATTTCTGTGTTAGCCGTCACACCATCTCCTAACGGTTTTGCACTATTGGTCCCTTTGTTTTTGCTTTTGTTTTTCATATTAACTACTGAGGACCCAATCAACAACCAAAGAATACCTACCTAAGGTCCACCTTGTATTTTCAGAGACTCTTTTGTAAATATTATCTCTCATTTGTTCCATTTAGCGCACCCTGTATTTTTGTTGTTTCCTGTTCTCCTAGATTTATTGAAGGGTTTGAGGGTTGCCTTTCCCCTCAGGTGTGCAGCTCCATCCACACCCTGTGGTTAGTACTGTAGCGCTGTTCCACTTACTATATATATATATATATATATATATATATATATATATATACACACACACACACAATTAAGTGTCAAACTGTTATACAGGGTGCAGCAGCACCGATTAAGCTGTTTTGAGGGGTTATAGAAAATTAACTGAGGTATATAGAGAAAAACAGTATTTTTATTTTCAAATTCAACAGTAAATACCATTTTATATTCATTAAGTTTTGAAATAATGTCCTCAAGAAGACAACCATTAGCAGCAACACACTGTTGGAGACGATATCTGAAGTTTTGTACAGCTCATTCACCCGTATCGCTGGGTGTACCGTTAACGTCTTCCATAATCTGCTCCCTTAGCTCTGGTAAGGTGTAAGGGTTATGTTTGAACACTTTTTCCTTCAGATATCCTCAAAGAAAATAATAACACAAATGCTCAAATCTGCTGACCGTGCCTGCCACCCCACATCACCCCTCAGAGAGAACAGACGTCCGGGAAACATTTCTTTAAAAATATTGAGTGAATTTCGGGCTATGTGGGCTGTAGCCCCATCCTGTTGGAACCAGAACTTCTCCATTTACTCTTCTTCAACAATCTCTTTTATTCTGGGCTGCAGAAAAAGTACGAGCTTATCACTTCGAATTGTGATACGGCACACCACACCGTTAGTTTAGGGGAATGTAGCGGTCTTTCGTGAATCACTCAGGGTTATTTTGAGCACAGGAGTGGAAATTTTGCTTATTCACAGCTCCACTGAGATGAAAATGTGCATCGTCGCTACTGAAGAAAGCTGCTGCAGGAGGGATCTGTGCAAGCATTTGCTCACACAGGTTTCTGTGGTTGGCGTAATCTCCTACACTCAGTTCCTGAGCCAACATCATCTTGTAGGGATGAAACTGCAAATCTAAATGAAGAATTCTCCTCAGACCACGGTATGACATTCCCAAAGCAACAGCATGCTTTCGAGCAGAACGTCCTGGGGACTGCTCAATTGCTGCTTCACCAGCTGCACATTTTCCGGTGTTCCTATGGACCTGTGTCGGCCATGTATACCTCTTCTAAGCGTGGTACCAGTTTCCTCCAACTGCCTAACCCATGACCGAATTGTGTTTGCATTAGGAATGGCGTTGTTGCGCAGAATGTTGAACCGTCGCCGAAAAGCTCATTGCATCGTGATCACAGACTGGTTGTTTTCTAAATACGCCCGCACGGCAAAGCTTTGATGTACTCCGGTCCAAACTATATTGGCTACTGAAATGGGGTGACGGAACACAATGAGACCAGGTGCACCAGCCTCCCCCAACCACAGCCTGAGCGTTGACCCCTCCAAACAGCTTAGTCGGTTCTGCTGCACCCTGTAAAAACTGTTATATAAAGTGCTTCCACAACACTCAAAAATATAATCAAACATAATTAAAAAAAAAAAATATATATATATATATATATATATATATATATGTGTGTGTGTGTGTGTGTATATGTGTATATATATACACACACACACACACACACACACACACACACACACATATATATATATATATATATATATATATATATATATATATATATATATATATATATATTTTTTTTTTTTTTTTAAATTGTTTGATTATATTTTTTATATATAAACCCTAGTGCAACAGTGAGAGAAATCTATATACAAATGTATACGTCAATCAAATTTATGCAGAGGCAGAAAAGTCCATTTTAAAAATCAGCAAACACGTTTTGGCTATTTAACCTTCTTACAGTCTTCTATATATGGTTGCTATATATGGTTGTACCGTGTACAGTATGTTATTTTCATTTTTGTTTTTTTAGGTATCTCACACTGTCTTGTGGTACAAGCATACATTTGATTAAGTATATACCCGTATATAGATTTCTCTCACTGTTGCACTTAATTAAATTGGTATACATACAGTTGCAAGAAAAAGTATGTGAAGCCTTTTGAATGATATGGATTTCTGCACAAATTGGTCATAAAATGTGATCGGATCATCCTCTAAGTCACAACAGACAATCACAGTCTGCTTAAACTAATAACACACAAAGAATGAAATGTTGCCATGTTTTTATTGAACACACCATGTAAACATTCACAGTGCAGGTGGAAAATGTATGTGAACCCCTAGACTAATGACATCTCCAAGAGCTAATTGGAGTGAGATGTCAGCCAACTGGAGTCCAATCAATGAGATGAGATTGGAGGTGTTGGTTACAGCTGCTCTGCCCTATAAAAAAACACACACCAGTTCTTGGTTTTTTTTTTTTTTACAAGAAGAATTGCCTGATGTGAATGATGCCTCGCACAAAAGAGCTCTCAGAAGACCTACTATTAAGAATTGTTGACTTGCACACATACTTTTTCTTGCAACTGTATTCTATAATATTTAGTAGTAAAGACCACTTTTCAGTGTATCCTAAATGTTTTGTAGCCTAGTAAACAGTTACATAGTAATTGTACTTGCCTTACTTAAAGGACCACTATAGTGCCAGGAAAACATACTCGTTTTCCTGGCACTATAGTGCCCTGAGGGTGCCCCCACCCTCAGGGTCCACCTCCCGCCCGGCTCTGGAAAGGGGAAAAGGGGTTAAACTTACCTTTTTCCAGCGCTGGGCGGAGAGCTCTCTGCCTCCTCTCCTCCTCCGATCCGCCCCGTCGGCTGAATGCGCACGCGCGGCAAGAGCTGCGCGCCCATTCAGCCGGTCACATAGGAAAGCATTCTCAATGCTTTCCTATGGACGCTGGCGCGCTCTCACTGTGAAATTCACAGTGAGAAGCACGCAAGCGCCTCTAGTGGCGGTCAATGAGACAGCCACTAGAGGGAATGGGGGAAGGCTTAACCCATTCATAAACATAGCAGTTTCTCTGAAACTGCTATGTTTATGAAAAAATGGGTTAACCCTAGAAGGACCAGGCACCCAGACCACTTCCTTTAATCTAACAAGATTTTAGAATGACTACTTTATATCTTAAAGTAGCTTTGTAACTTTGAAAAATATGCAAAGGTAATCCTACATGCATGTCTGCTTTGTGTGACGTGACCGGGAAGTAAATCTTGTTAATATTAATAATTGCTAGTGCCTGATTTGTATGTTTTTAATGACTTACTCTGTGCTGTATGGTCTCTACGGTGCTGGAGAGGAAGTATGTTGTCTTAGTCCTCACTTTCTCTCTATATTTGAGAGATCTATAAACAGACAGACCTTACTATATTGCAGTGTGGCAACCATACTTTGGTCTTATTGGGAGAATATCATGAGATGTGCTTTGCTTGAGCTGGACCTGCACCCGTACCAGGGGGATTTTGTTAATTCGGGTATTTGAACTGTTGATTTACACCTTCTTGGAGCACATGTGGACTTTTGACTGTACTGGGCCGCATTGAGAACTACACTAAAGGAACAGTTTCCCGAGGTCCAGAGTATGTAGCATTTAGTACTCTATTGAGAATTAAAATTAAAAAATGCCATCCATTATTTAGCCTACCTTCATTCTGTGTAGCAATTTCATTAAATTCCTTTAAAAAAAAAAAAAAAAAAGAAATTATACATAAAATACAAACTGACCTTTTGTGGTTTTTAAATCTAGCTTTGAAAAAGTCTGCACAATCAGTATAATTATATATATATATATATATATATATATATCAACCATCTAGTTGATCAGCCATAATTAATTTGTGACTAAAGGCATAGCCATCTTTTACAGTAGATACCAATGGCTTCTCTGCGTGCATGTTCTAGAGGCCTTGTAGGATTTTACCATAGGCAACTTTTTAGTATTCTTGTGCATGCTCAAGGAATGGATAAGCTCAAAGTGTAAGCGAAAAAAAATGAAAGAAAATGAGGTCTCAAAGGACAAAAATTCCAGCTTGACCCCGTGATAACTTTTTTTTTAATTATATTTTTTTTATCTCTACATGACATATTTTAACGGTTTGTGCAAAATGATCGTTGCTAAAACAGTCTTTACCCCTTAAAATCAGCTGGTGTTAACATACATCCCTGAAGTAAAGCAATGCCAGTTAGTTTAGTGTGCAAATCATTATTTGTATATTGGCTGGATGTATATTTGTTATGTTTATATATGTTCGCTATTGGACACTCTTTTAATCGGTCAGTTATTTTATTGATAAATGTCTTGAATAATAATAATCAGTAATAACCATAATGTAACCTGTTTTCCATTTGCGGATCAGTTACCAGAGTTACATAATGTATATTGATTAAAAAAATATAATTTATTTTTTGTGTTTTTGCAGTGCATAAGAGTAGTACATATAGGCTTGAGGTACCCCAAATACAGTCCTCAGGCATATCATTTCGTGGTACATTTGGAGTAGTGGCTAGGGAATGCACATTTTTGTAATATAATCATGAGGTACATTGTCAGTGGGTAACCGCAATAAGCAGGGAGATAAGCGGGCTATGCAAACTGACAGCAGAATTGTTCAGGATGATGGGAGTTATCCCATGTTCAACATCACGATATTTAACAGGCTATGCATACTGATCATAGGATTATGGAAACTGATATGACTACATACGGTAAACTAGCAGCCAGGTAAAACATCAGTTATTTAAAGAGAGAGTTCTCACGTTATGTACTCGGGCGAAAACCATGGGTAGTGTATCAAATCAGTCTAGACAAGTTCAACCGATGCCCAGTCTGAAGGCTTTGGTTACAAGCCTGGAATGGACGTCGATGAGCCTCACCAGCTGCACCTCGGTACCCCATGCGTCCACATTTGCCACACAGCGGGGTCCAGATGAGGCGCCCCTCCTGCCCTGAAACATTCTAAGAGCCAGTATCATTATCTCACTGACTCACTGCCATCCTGGGGCCAAGTCCTTCCCCGGTGTGGGGCTGCACTCAGTTGCTTTCGCGGGTATCATACTTTCCTCCGTAGGCGTGGGTGGTGTATAGGGGTCGCACCCCATGTGGATCTTTTCCCAAGTGGGCCAACAGTATTACAGTATGCGATTTCGGTGATTGCTTTGCCTGGTTGGGGCCTCTCCCACTGCACCTCGGTATTGAAGCTTTCAGGGAACTCGGCTCTGATTGGCCGTCGTGCTTTGGGTGCTCTGACCATGTTACTGGCTGATGATGGTGCTAGTGGCTGTTACCTATTCTCCAGGCATTCCCAAAATTGCTTGCAGAAGTCGTCAAATCTTTTCTGGAAGGCTGCTGCCCAATCGATGGAGGCCAGTCCCTCTGTGCATGTAGTGGTGCTGCTGGCCAACTTGGTCAGGCCTCGTGTCTCCTGTCTTTCAGAGTTGCGCCCTGGAGCGAGGTGAGTGCTCTCTATGTGGAGGGCCCTTGTGCTGATACTCGGTCTGTCACAGAAGCGGGAAAGCGGCCGTCTCTTCCGCACCTGCCATGCTTGTAGGCCTCACACTCTTGTCGGGTGAATATTGCTCCAAATGTCGCTTAGGTGTTATCTCGTTCAGCTTGATATCACCTCTCATTTGGTGGCCTATCCGCACTGATTTATTGCCGTTTGTGCAGTGAAAGTCTGCTTTGTTCGGAGCTGCTGAGGTTTGCATCCTCTCAGCTCTGCAGTCAGGCCCTGTCCCTGATATATATATATATATATATATATATATATATATAATATGTACAACTATTATTTATAATAAAAAAACAAAACCACTATATGCAATAAAAATTATATATGTTAGAAGGCAGGGCCTGAATTTGTGGGAGGGGCAATAGACCTACTTAAAAGGGACTCCCCCCTTCCCTCACTTACCTTCGTTGGTCCAGACGAACAGCCTTGACTCGCAGGCCTCCGTCGCTCCCGACTTCCGGGTCCAATTTGTCCCTCCTCTGACGTCACGCACCAACTTCCGGCGGCTCCACCGGCTCCCTAACGGAGGTCTCTGCTACCCTCCTCGCCTACCGCTGGTCCGGGCGGTAAGATGAGCTCCCACACACACAGAACAGAGACTCCATTACTACCTAGGAGTCTCTGTTTTTCGGCCACCGGGGAGGAATCTCATTCATAGGGAAGGGGAGGGGAGGGGGGGGGTGGAAGTGGTATGGCTCTCACTGCTGGAACAGGGACAGGCCACAACCAGACCCCTATAACGTTAGGGGACCCTGTTTCCCACCGACTACACACTTGGGAAGGGGGGGGGCACCTGGCTTAAAGGGGGTCATTCTTTGCTGCTGGTTGACCCTTAGTTCAGCCAGCCACCACCACTCGTTATGCATAGACCCTTCGGTCATTATGTTTACAATGGTTATTTATATGTCGAATTAATAGCAATTACTTTAAGTACTGTTATACATAAACATCTGTGTTTTACACTTATACTGCTAAATAAGATGCTGGTTAAATTAACCTCACACAATTTTTTTTTTTTTTTTTAATATAGTGTATGACTTGCTTGTTATAAATGTGATACATGCATATATGTTTACTTGTTGCTGGTTAACATATGTTAAGAATGTTCTGCATGTATTAGTAACGTTAAATCTTAACAACATCATATACATTGGGGGGGGGAATGGTAATTCGCGGCAACC